GGGGGGGGGGGGGGGGGGGGGGGTGGTTAAGAAATTTGACATCACATAAAAAGTGGGAAAGAATAGCACTTAATAACAATAAAATACAGATACCGGTACTGTTAAAATTATTCTTTTACACAACAATTATAATTATTTTCTTTTTAAGTAAAATCACTGAGAGAATCAGTACAGGTATGAAAGGTCAGAAAAATTGCCTATGATCAAGTTACTGGAGGAGCATTGGGGTATAATGACAGTGATTCTTAGCCTTTTTGAAGCGCTGCAGCCCAAATCAGTTTTAAACTTTGTACCCATATAATTATAATTATAAATTGTAATTACATATTAAAATATGAAAAAAAAAAAAAAAATTATTTATTGTTGTTTTATTTCTTTAATTCCCTTTCTATAATAAAAATTTCAGATTTAAAAAAAAAAAAAAAATTTTTTATTTTTTTTTTATTTCTTTAATTCCCTTTCTATAAAAAAAAATTAAAAATTAAAAAAAAAAAAAAAAAAGGGGGGGTGGGGGACCCAAATCATGTCCCCGCAAGTAAGGTAAGGCGCAAACAAAATTCACCCATAAAATCTTATTTTTATAAAGGCAACAGCAGCAACAATTAGCAATGGCAGCAAATACAATTTGCTGGGTTTTCTGGTGCCTTCACCCCTGGTTAAGAGCCACTGTTCTAGTCTAGGGAAATGTTTCTGTTGGGGGGGGGTGGGGTTTGCAGAGATTTGTGGTGTTATTTTTTTAGGGGGGTGGGGAAATTTTTGTAATGATTTGTGATGGTGAGGGAGTTGAAAATCAGCAAAATTTGCGTGATGTCATTTATGGATGGCCCCCATGCTTGACATGTCATATTTTATGAAGTTCCTAAAGGGAGTTACCTGGGGTTATTACTTCCCTTGTCATCAGTATCAACCAGAGGATATCACACTGCGTCAATTAACCAATCTTAACTTTTAGCAGGACATTATGTTCCTTTGCGGCTTAATTAGTTAAAAAATTAAGGATTTGAATTAAACCAATAGGCCTAAATCAGCCGCAGTAGCTATTCATGAATTTTTTTTTTTAAATGTAGAGGTTAATTATTTAATTGGGGGGTTAGTAATTCATCTCTTTACTTTCAGATGGACACTGTTACTGATAAGTTAGCGTGGAAAATGTTTTTGCAATAGCTTCATAAGTTGAACAGCTATGCAATTTTATGTAAGAAAGTATCTGTTTCCACACATTTTATTACTCACCACCACACCCTATCTTTATTTGATCATATTAATTTAAAATTTGATAAAGATTAAAAATTTATTCACAATTTATGTTTTATTTTGTTCAATATTGATTTTTTAGGGATTCCTCAAAATTCGGCTGCTCAGACCTGGTTACAATGGAAAACCCAGAATAGTACAATGTGGTCTCAGTATAGTACCTTACCATCTCAAAATCTTACCATACCACAATGTAATGGAACAGTAACAGAAAATAAATAACATAAAGTAAAGTATAATGTAAACAATAACTATTCGTATGACATGTCTAATAAATGTCACTTCTAAATGTGATGACTGGCGTTTATTAATGCATTATTCTAATAAAAAGGTGCCCGTCATTTGCAACTTTGATAATAAAGATGTGGTGGAGGAGCAGAAATTGAGGACACCTGCCGAAGTCATCTGAGCACAAATGGGGGTTGTGTTTTTGAGGGAAGCTGAGCCCGCTTCCCAGAATTTTTAAAAATAAATTTAAAAAGTAGGGATGCTTTTTTAGGTATTACTGAATATAGTTTTGTATCATTCTACACTTAATCCTAACACTTGTGGAAAATTAGGCTCCCATTACCTATCTGTGTTTATGTACCGTATATCCTTTTTATTTAAGTATTTAATAGATACTAAAATTGTTCTATCTAATTAATAAATTGTAAATTTTTTAAAATCAGTCCAAAAAGTGGTGGGTACACCTAAATGGCGCATACTTTCACAAAAAATTATGTATATATATTCCAAATGGGAGTTTTGCAAAAATTGAAAATAATCTTTAATTGAATGAAGAAATAAGTTCATTTGTGATACATCCAGCTCTCACAATATTTAACATGGCGGGTTGGCCACCCCTGCATTTAGCCTAAGAGCCTGATTTTAAATTTACATTAAAATATTTTAGTCTAATAACAATAGCAAGCTGTATAGGTAGAAGGGAAGAGGAGTGCTGTTGTATTAAAACTGCTCAATGCTTAGTGACTTCTAAAAATAGATTTCAAATGCGGCTTACTGGATCTCATAAATATGTCAAAATCTAACGCTGCAGTGTGGAGCAGTTGAGCATGCAATTTTTTTAAAATCTATAGTTTTCTCCATTTTCGTAATCGCAGCCGTTCAGTCAAAGAACAAATTTTTTCACAAAATTAGGTCATACACCACCAAAGCGAATGTTTACTAAATTGTCACTAGGGGGCATAGGCTATACATTACTGTTGCTGTTTCTAGAGCATTCATTGTGAAAACCCAAAGCAACAATATGAGAATCATTATGAAATTGGTGGTGTTATGTTACAGCTTTTAAAAATATTTTGACACCTTCCATTAACCCCTTCTATGCACACCCTAACTATAATTCACTGGAATGCAGTTATCACTTATTAAAAACAATTTTACCTGATTCTGATATTCCATGCAAAAAAATCAGGAAGTGTACAGGTAACGTAAACTGATCTGAACAATCACTTAATACAAATTTATAATTTAAACTATTTACAATAAGAACAATATTTGATAAAGTTTAAATTTATGTCAATTTCTGCAATTAGAGCTATGACGTGTGTCTGTAAAATTCTCTCCCTTTTGTTTATCTTTGTTTTGTTACCGGTACTAGAGTTAACTTTTTCCTTAATACAACGATGGGATGTTTTAAATTAAAATTCATGTTTGCTTAATTATAATATTTAAGTCTCGGGCATTTTGGAAAATGGGTTTATTATTGTATTGTATTGATTTTTCTAACAGCGATTGGATTTTTTAAAAACTTTTAGGTGGAACCTGAAATAAAAGGTGTAAAAGTGTATGGGTTTTCATTATTTTGTATTGTTTTTCTTCATTTTTAACAGTATTTTGACCACAGTATGTAAATGTAGCCACACACACATTTTAGTTGAGGGAAATGAGCAGCGACTGGCTGAAATTACGGCAGGGAAGGAAGCAACCGCAGGTTGTTGACATGTCTTGCCAAATATCTAGATGGATACAATTAAGTAGCTACGTTCACCTCAAAATTTATGTAACAGAAGAAATTATACTTTTTTTCTCATTAAATTTTTACATCTTTTCCTGTTTTCATTTGTCTCGGTAAATAGCTAAACCAGCACATTCTATCTCTTTCCCCTCGCCATTTTAGTAGAACGGTTTTAGCATAAATTTACTTTTACTTGTATACTAAAAGTATTAAGTATACTTAGTAGCCTTAGGAGCTGGCTATGGGTCGGTAACCAGATTTGATGAAAATTTTGAATGTCCTATTTTTATCTGAATCCGAGGATGGTAACCCTACCCCAAAGTTTGTGAGCACCCCCCACGCCCTGGGGCAGGGTTTGCGAGCACCTCCAGGCCCAGGCGTTGCACGCATCCTTGCTGGGCTCTATAAATTAATTGTACTTATCTTATACTATTATAATTATAATACTAAAACAGACTTACTAATACAACGTACACTAACAAGCAGGCTTTGCAGGCTCTATAATAAATTATTACTTATAAGTTATTTATATATTTTTTTTAATAATAATAATAGTAATAGACTAAAGTTATAGATTATAGACATAGAATAGAACAGTATTAGTGTTAGGCTGCAGCTATTCGGACCCCGTATCAGAAGTGGACAATCCTCCGAAGTCCGGTCCCAAATTATTTCACATAAAAAAATTGCAATGCACAGTGTGTATTGTTAGAAATAAAACAGCAGAAATGTCAGTCATAGCTTTTGCAAATAACTGTCACTTTACAAACCAGTCAGTAAATACTAAATATTGTAATTAGCGCATAGCATTTGCAAATAGCAGCCGAAAACGTTCTGCTTGTGACTGCTGCGCCACTGAAAGGCCCCCAAGAAGTTGGCAAACAGACCACGACTAGTAACACTCTGATAGCAGATTTTACGTTTCGCTTGCATCTAAAGTCCTTCAATAGTTTCTGTGTGAATGTCCTGGTCTACTGGATCAACAAATTCACGCGCATGCACAATGACAGCGTGAGCATAAATCCGTTGTTGAGCTGACCGACATTTTGATATCCTCGCCAAGCGTCTGTGACAATAGTTGTCCCTGGTAACACATGATTAGTGATAATGTGCTTGTTGAGTGTTTGTGCATCTCGACGGCCAACAACCTCCATCCAAAATCGTCCACTAACACAAACATGAATTTCAAAACAGAATGATGCCCAAGACTTTTAAGTAAGGAGTAATCATTGGAAATAATTTGGGACCGGACTTCGGAGGATTGCCCAGAAGTGAGAGGTTGGGTTTATAAAATAATATTATTGTTGGGTTTGTAGTATAAAATTTGGTATCGAATGAAAGATAACTGAATGGACTATATTTTTGTAAACCTAATTTTTCAGTTTAACTAAAATAAGCTGCCACAAATGACATTCAAATAGCATTTAGTCTAATTGGACTAATATGGGACCCGGTCCGAATAGCAGTGATAAATGATGTGGGCCGAATAGCAGCGATGCGTGTCCAGTTCCAATTCCATTTTGGCTAAATGCTATTCAGATTCAGATGTCATTTGTGGTAGTTTATTTTAATTAAATTGAAGAATTAAGTTTACAAACATATTACTATAATATAGTATAATCCATTCAATTATCTTTCATTGGATACCAAAGTTTTATCTTACACACCCAACAATAATATTTTAAACATTTTTTAATCCCAACCTCTCAGTTCTGGTAGCCGGGTCCGAAAACCCGTTTCGTAGTATTATCAATATAATGTTACCTAAATAGTAGGCGTAAAAAAAAGATGGACCAAAAGATGAAAAAAGAAGCCCAAGAAAGGATGGCCCAATAACATTGGCTTCCATGAGATCATCACAAATATGAGTCATCTCCATTCAATCAACTGCAGGCTTGCAAGCAACTAAGAAATTACTAACTGCAAGGGATTGATGATTGGTGTATTTCGCAGAAAACCTGTTAATTTAAACTCTTAGTAAAGAAAGCTTCTGCTAACAGAGTAATTAACAGTATTTATTGTTAATCATAACTATTGCAACGATATGTTGAATAATTATTTTAAAATCATATATTCAATAGAAAAGTCACTTGCTTTACATTTCTTAAGCTAATAAATTAAAATATTAAGTTTGATAACATCAAAACACCTTTTAAAAAATAATAACTCAATTATCATGAAAAATAAACAACGATTACTCACTTTTACTTAGTTGACTTGTAAATAAAGATGGCGGAGCATGAATTTCCTCTTCATCAGAGTGTATTTAATGGAGATGTTAAGCTCGTTTCAAAGCTCATTAGAACATGTGATGTATCACAAAAAGATATTCACGGTAAGCAGTTATACTAAATATAACATATATTGTAATTAGGCGTTGGAATATTAAGCTAAAATTCGTTTTTCTTCAGCTCTTGTATGGTTGACCCTACCTGAGCTCTACCTCACCAAGAGTAAGACCAATAAAATATTATATAAGTTTAATAAATCAATTTCAAGGCTTCAGTTCAGTCAAAGTCTACATCAATTTGACTTATCGAAGGCTCTTTAAGTCTAGACCCAATCGATTAAAAACACTGTGACTTTCAAATAAGTAATTATTTATAGTAAATAGACCTAATATTTTATTATTAATTATAATTATAAAGTATAATAATTTAGCAGTGAATACTCATTTATTTATACATTTTTACAACATAATACAACACAACAAATTAAATAGCAGTACTTTTTCCCTTTATCCCAACAGAAGTTATGCCCACCTTTCATAACCTTTGTTTTTTAATTATTACAGGAAACACCCCACTTCACATTGCAATTATGTTGGGTCACAAAGGTAATGTAATTATTTTTTTTGAAATTCTATATGTAATTAAAACATTTTAAAATTCTAATTCTCAATGTTCAGAAGTTTTTGGATGTTAAATAAGAATTAATACATTTCTATCTTCTCATGGTAAATCCTACAATTTGTTATAGTGAGGGTAGACTTCAAAGGTTATGGTACAATTTGACAGGTAAATGTAATGAGTATGTCAGCTAGAAGTTTTTACTTGTTGAAAAGTGAAACAGTAGATAAAACTGAAGTAAGAAAAGAAAGCTGAAAAAAATTGTATTTATATTTATTATAGGGTGGCAGGCAAAAATTTCTAAACAGTAGATTGTTGAACTGAGACTCAAATCATGTGCTTAAATGTAAAATTTATATATTTTATGTCAGTTTAAAAGAAATACTAGAGATGATGAAGTAAAAAAAGTAAAACAATCAATGTGTAATTATTTTAAAATCTATGCCTTTATAGGAAGAAAAAAATTAAATAACTTAGCTCAATAAGTAGGATAGTGTATTTCCAGTCCAAGAAGAAACAGTGAAGTGATAGTAAACTAACAATAATGGGTAAGGAAATACAAGAAAATAGTTCTCACTTACTATGTGTTCCCCACATATACCTTTAACCTTGAACAAATCTTTTTCAGAGTGCATCCATTTACTCCTAGCCCATGGTGCTCCTGTGAAACTAAAGAATTCCATGGGATGGACACCTCTAGCAGAGGCAATAAGTTTTGGAGACAGGCAAACAAGTATGATTTTTTTTTTTATACTTTAGATAAACTGATATTCTTATTCATAAATGTGTCATTTTTTAAAAATTAGTGCTGATGCAACAAAGAGACACAATATTTGTATTAGCATTATGATTTCATTTTGACAAGTATAAACTTGAAATGAAATTGGGTAGATCACTGTGAATCATGAAAAGATCAGATAAAAGCTCTTTATTAAATATCACCCTGTTGAAAACAAGAAATTTGGAGTCTATAAAAATATTTTTTTAATATATTTAATAATAAATAACAACCTTTGAATGTAATGGGTTTTTAATTTTGGACATTTTAGCTGGGATTTGTTTTAATTTTAAAATATAACTGTTTTTGGATTAATTCTCATGTCAACAAATATTTTGTCATAGTACTCTCTGTTCTACGAAAGCTAAAGCAGCAATCTAGAGAAGCATTAGAAGAAAGACGACCCATGTTAGTTCAAGCCTTGAAGGATATTGGTGATTTTGATCTAGAACTTAAGTGGGATTTTCAAAGTTGGGGTATGAAACTAACTTTAAAACATTTTAGATTTATTGTAGGTTTTATTATTACAGACAAAAAGAAAGAAAATATATTTGAAGGAACCTTTTCTTTTAACTACTGGTTAACCTTAAACAGGGTCCTTGCACAAAAAAAGTTGAGAACAATTACTTAAGATAGTAAATGCCAATGTTTATTTTTTCAGTTAAAGCTTATTAATTTACTTTTTAATCTGTTTCAGTGCCTTTAGTGTCAAGAATTTTACCTTCTGATATTTGTAGGATAAGAAAGAAAGGATCCAGAATAAGGTAATTAAAAGTGCCTTGTTTTATTTTGTTATTTCTGCGCACTTTCTCAACAATAACATTTATGTTTTAACTTAATGATTTGAATTGTATCCTTTGAAATGTGGTTTAAAGGAAAAAAATATTTCCGATTTCAGCTGTAGTGTAAATGGAACTTTATACACAGAAGGTAGATTTTTCACTGCAGGTTATTAGAACTTTGAATTTTAGCTCATAAACTTTAAACAAAATTTAACAAATTTTCAAGAGGTGTAATTTTTTATTTTATTTTAAATAGGTTAGACACAACTCTAGTAGATTTTACAGAGATGCGATGGGAAAGAGGGGATATCACTTTTCTGTTTAATGGAGAGGCCAAACCAAGACAAAGTCTCTCAGTGCTAGACAACAAAGCTGAGGTGTATCAGAGAGTCAGATATGAGGTAAGAAGCTTCATCATCATGTCCTAGCATTTTTAATGTGCTCTAGTAAAGAAGTTTAAATTTGATTCTACCAAGCAAAATTGTTAACTTTTACAGTCCGTTGGGTAACTCAAAGGTGACTATTGAATGACTAATGTAAATTAAAGCCCATAGGTGTTGTAATTTTTTTAATATCAAAGATGTCTCTCTTGAAATTTTGTGCTTAAATAAAATGAATAATTTTGTTTATTGAAAATAATGTTAAATAATATAATTTTTAAGATAGATTATTCATTGTATACTTCTTCTGATAATTATACATTTTATAAAATATTGCTTAGAGCTGAATTAGATTACATTCTCTTTTTGGTTTGATGTGAAGAATGTATTTTTTGTTCTCCTGTTTGCCATTACGTATTTTGGAGGTCATTGGAAAAAAAAGTGGTTTTCTTTAAATTTTAAATAAACAAAAATGCCATCAAACTTCTTTAAGATTCTTTACGTCAAGCAAGAGCTCACTATGTTTACTCCTTTTGGGCTGAATAATTATAGTAATGTTCAGCTGAAAGTTACTTTTAACTGTTAATTTTCTCCTCTTCTTTAAAAATAAGGTCATGAAAAATTATTTTAAAATCTAGGACAGTGAACTTGAGCTGGAAGAGGAGGTTGACATTCTTATGAGCAGTGACATAGTTGCAGCTCAGATGTCAACAAAGAGGATTACATTTTCAAGAGCTCAGAGTGGATGGCTGTTTCGAGAAGATAAATCTGTATGACTTTTTAAAATCTTAAAATGTTGAGGTTGGGATTTCGAAATGAAGGAGCACTTATTTGTTTCCTTTCAGATGTCTGCTTATGCTTTGAGTTTTTTTAAAAAACCCTTTCTTTGTTTTTAGTGTGGATATTTAAAATTAGACTTTTATATTGAACTCCCTGCATATAATAACTGTTTTCTACTAAAACTCTGTATTGTATTGGAGAGTCCAATCAGCATATTCTGTAAATCAAATTGATTGAAAAAAAAATAAACAACCCATGTAAGGCTTAAATTGCAGCTTATTATTTTAATATTTCTGATAATTTACTATTTGTGTCATAGGCTATGATTTGGTTTTAGCCTTTGAATTTAAAAGCATTATAGGGTGTGAGGTTGTCGATTTCAATAGAAACTAGGACTTAACCGGGTGCAGTTTTTTTAACACTGGGCCTGGGTCCTTGTTTTTTTTTAGAAAAACTGGATTGGTCCAAGAGTTACAAAAAGAGAGTCAACTTCTCATCTGCTATAAAATATGCGTACCTTTAAATAATAGGCCTACAGTCCTACACCCTACCACTGGCCTTTAAACAATAGTCATATGGACAGTCATACACCATACCTGTGGCTCTTTATTGATTAGTATAATAGTCACCTCCCCTATTGGAAAAAGCCTGAGTTCAGATATGGTGCAGGAAAGCTTGCTGCATGACAGCCTTTTTTCCTTTCATTACTATTAATATAAAACATCAGGGGGCGGATGTTGTGAAGAGGCAGCAGGATGAACCAGAAGCAAAATATATAAGAGATTGTTACAAATAATATTTCACACTCGAAAATTGAAAAGTATTTAAATTTATTTCATATCTGTTTTTATTCCTTTGATTTGGATGTCAGAATTTTTATAATTATTTATTTATTTTTTCTATTTAATTACAGGAAATGGTGGGAGATTATAGTTCTGATTTTTACAGTGTAAACAATCTTGTTCTAGAATCCAAGAAGAGGTCTGTTGCAACAAATTATTTTACCCCTTATTATCACATAAGTGTTTAATCTTATTTGTTTTATATTACTCCCCAAAATAATTCTTTTCTTTTGAAGTAGTTCATAGTTTTAATTCAGAAACATAATAATAAAGAAGAAGTTTTTAATTTAGATCTATTTATATATGGATACATTTTTTTTTTAAAGTTGGATTTTGACAACTACAAGTAGATTTTACTGTTCACACACTATTTGATAGTTTCAGTTTTTTTGTAGTTTCAGTTTTATTTTTAAACATTGAATGAAGGTCAACATATTTATTGGTAGATAAAAGGGAATATCTTTTGTTAACTACTCTGCAGACGAGAACATTTATCAACTGAAGACATCCAAAAGAACAAAGCTATCATGGAGAATTTCAGTAAAGGCTCATGGGATAATGCTGAAGCTTCAAATGGAGTAATTGTACAATATCTTATAATGTTAACATAAATGTTCTGACATTAAAATATGTTTAATAAGCTCATTAATATTTCATAAAACGCATATATTAATGTAACACTGGGGAGCATGTTAAGAATGTTTTATCGTAATTACATTTGTTTTAAGCTCTACCTAAGAGTAAATATTTTATGTGATTTAAGACCTTTTCTGCTGGCTCAAAAAAACACATTAGCCACAACAGGTTTTTCTGCACATTATTTTTCTCCCCCAAGATGATCAGAACAATTTCATTTATATTCCTTTGTGTAGCGAGGATCTCACCATCTCTTTGTTAGATAAAAATTGCACTGAGAACCTGAACCTGCGTAATATAAAACTGCAGAATAATTCACGCTAAATAAATTATTTTAATTAACCTTTGTTGAAGGTGCTTAAGATGTATTAACCGCATTAAATTTTGGAATTTAAAAAAGAAGATTTTGTTAGTTTGCTTAAATTGTGTGTGGATCTTGTTTTTTCTAGCTGGAACGGCGCAGATCTCTACAGCCCCCTGAAAAACCTAAATGTACTTGGAATGAATACATTATGGGACCTGCAGGCAATCCTCCATGTTTAGGACGACAGTGGATATCAAAAGAGAGTTCAAAAGCTTTTAAGGCAACAGTTGCAATGGTAAGAGGACCAATAAAGGGATTTTAAAGCTGTAATTGCTTGTACAGAGAAACGGGGTGACTTTGCCTACTTTTGGCCTTTAAGCATAAATTTCAACATGTTAACTGATCTAAAAACTAACACAAAGGTGCTAATGTACAGAATGGATACCTGCACTTCATTTGTTATAGCTGAATTAAGTCATAGTTTGATCAGGTTAAGTTGATAATTAAGGTTTTTTGAGATTTTTCAACCTAAGGAAAAATGGGGTGACTTTGCCCTTTTAGTGAAAGACAGCACAATGCATGTAGAAATTATAAAACCAAGCAAATAAGTCATTTTATTTTCTGTATTTACTGTTTGATCATAATATTTTAATGTAATGAAAGGCTGGAAGAAAATATTAAAACAGTTTACATAAAAAAGATTAAAAAGACACGAACAAATTGTGACAATATAAAAATATAAGTTACACTTTTATAATAATTATACATTATACACAAGTAAACGTTTTGGCACATGTCTTCATCAGTACAAACAAAAAAATACATTTAAATAAGTATAAATTAAATTTACATAATATAAATATACATATCCTACCTAAAAAAGAAAAAAATAGGAGAGGGCGCTAATATAACGTATCATGTATAATTATTATTAAAGCGTAACTTATATTGTTATATTGACACTATTTGTTCGAGTCTTATTAATCTATTTTAAAGCTTTATTGCAGTCCAACACTTTTATAATTAGTTAATTACATAAAAAATGATTCTCGGTGATTTATTTTTTTGAGGCAAACCTTCGTCGTAGGTTTTCGCATTTTCTCCATCTAATTAAAGCTTTTTCGCTGTCATCAAGATTAATCCAAAATAAAAAAATTAGACCAAAAAAGTAAATTATTTCTAGTTGAGGCATGCCGAAATCTGATGATGTCTTTAGGTGCTTTACTAAGTTTACTTTAATTCTTCTGACAAAGAGCTTGCCCTCCAGTTGTTTTCTTGTGGCTACGGTACCTTTTATGCTAGCTTTTCTTTTTTAGTGGGAGCAGATGTGTACATTATCATAAACGCTAAATTTTATTTTTCCTTCTAACAAATATTATCAGCATGTTAAAAAATATTACAGGTATCATTTGGAATTTAGTGCATTTAGCAAATATGTGTGTAAATCTTTTCTTTTTTTTTTTTTAACTTATGTTAGACACTATCATAGGAGTGTGTGATTTTTATTTGATGAATATCTAAAATATCCTTTCAGAGTGATGAGTTTCCCATGACAGTAGAGGTGTAAGTAGTTTTAGTTACATTAATTGATTTATAACAGGTGCCATTAAGTTAAACTGGAAGGTTGAGAATCCAACTTAAATATTGGGTTAGATTATGGTTGTAAATACCTTCACTGTTACCTGTGCGTAGTGAAATCAACTATCTTTTAATTTCAGATTGCTGGATGTACTGGAGGTGGTTGCACCATTCAAACAATTTCAGAAGCTCAGGGATTTCATGACATCTAAGCTTCCACCTGGTTTTCCAGTAAGAATAGGTCAGTGCAAAAAAAAAAAAAAATGAACCTTTTTTCTTTTTTCTTCAGCAAATTTATTGATTTTAATGTAGTTCTTGCACACAAAAAAACTTGCAATACCACCTCAACTCTCAGATTATAACCCCATGTTATAACTGCAGATCAGCCAGTCATAACATTGTTTGATCCACTTATATTTTTCACTTAAAACCACATATGATTGAATGTCTAAGTTTATTGCAAACACATAGCATCTCAATTAAATTTAATAACACAATTATTTGAATTCACCACTTCTTTTCATATGTAATTTCACAAATTTTTATACCTTGTTTATGAAAATGATGTCAGATGTAAATGTTGTAATAGGTGCCTGTCACACTGCACATGATTTTATACCAGAAAAAACATAGGGTAAAGATAATGATTGTTCATCACTGCCCAAAAAATTCCATAAGTAGTAGTGATGGGTTAAATGTGCTTCAAACATCAAGAATGATATGAATGAATTATTCTGAATTTTAATTTTTGAGATGAAAGGAATTCTTATTAATGAAATTAACTGCACTACATTAAAAATTTAAAAAACATTTTTAAACAATTTATTAGAATATATATATTTTAAAATTGTTTTTAGCCATTTAGTTATGCTAAAAATTTAACAATTTTGAAAATACCTGTATTAGCCTTCGCTAAAATTCTATTCTATTTTATAATTATCATTTTTTTAAATGCTTAAACTATTAAAGAAATTTTTTTTTTCTGACCAGAAATCCCAGTGTTCCCAACAATCACAGCCAAAGTAACATTCACTAATTTCCAGTGGAAAGACGACCAAGACAAGAGTCTGTTTTCTATACCATCACACTACAAGGAAGACCCAGGCCGATTTCCTGAATTGTGACAATACATGGAACTGTACATCATCCACATCATCTGTAGCATGAGGATGGACCAGCCCTACCTGCTCATTGAGAAGGCTGTGCCTCAGGAGGCACCCACAGTTGATGCACAATATCAAGCTGTTATGGGGAAAAACTCAGGAACTGTTTGTAGTAACTTGTCATCAGTTGATGATCACAGTAGTGATTCACCGTTTATATCCCACCCTGTAGCTAGTGTCTTACCTGTACAATGTAAAGCTCATTATGAATGTTTAGAAGCGAAGAACAAACAAGATCATGATGGCACTTGTTCTCATTGCTCATCAATTTGTGGTTATCAAGATGGGGGCAATGTTGTTGATGAAATTGTTGAAAGAGTGGATGACCCCCTGTCACTGCTAATGAAAGGCAAGAAAAAGCTGCAGAGCTTTCTCCAGAAGTTTACACTCTTTGGCACGGAAAATTCTGAGCTCAAAGAATGTTCTACTTGTACCAACAGTCAAGTCATCTACTCTACTACAAAAGATGACTCTGCAGCTGATGTTGATTTTGCTTATGAACAAAGTAAACTAATTTGTCCACTCATGCACTTAGATTGCCATCAAAATATATGTTTCAATGTTGAAGAAAGTTCAGAAGATGTTTCAAAACGAGATTGTGGAAATTCTAGAAAACACTCCAGGGGTTTCGTCAAGAACATTCACACACTAAAAGAAGCATCCAAAAAGCCTGCTACCTGTTTGCCACCCCAAAGGAGCTTTAGTGGTGACAGGGAACACAAAGAGGTCAACATCTGTGCTATCTTATCAGAGGAAAGCAAAAACCAATATTCTGATATTACGATAGACAAACGCTCGCATATATCCAGCAAATGCAGATCACATGAAATGTTTCAAACTTCTCAACTGGATGACAATAATGATTTGAGAACACCTGGGATGTGCCACAACAGAGAAATTTGTTCAGCATCAGGAGAAGATAAGGCAACTGAATGCATTTTAAAAATGGATGAACAGCCATTTTCTGATGGCCAGTGTGAACTTTGTTGTAGGAAAATTCAAAACATCGATGTAGCAGCACCTGGAATTATAGATGTGCCTGAAGCTACAGTGAAAATAAAAAAGTGGAAACAAAAAAGCTCCTGTAAGGGTAGCCGCAAACAATTTCGTAAGTTACACGAAACAGAGTCTCAGCCACCAAGGCGTAAAAGAAGAGGAAAATTACCCTCAGAAGCTGGGCAGGTGTCTGAAAATTTAGTTTGTCCCTTAGCAGATGATATAATGAAACCAAAAGACGCAATCGATGTAGCACATTTAGAAAAAAAGATGAATGGTGACATGGTATGTTTAGATCTGCCATTGACAAATTTTGGTTTTTACAGCGGTGAGGTTCTCATTCTTATGTAAATATTCATAATAATAAAAATAAGAAACTGTTGTATATTTCTGGATCAATTTCAATGAGATTTTTCTTTCCTAACAAATTTAAGAACAAGAAAGAGATTATTTTTTTCTCTTCATGAGATGGTTTTACTTTTTTCTTTTCCAAATTTGTAAATTTGTTATTAATGTGTGTTTTAATTTATTTTCCTAATTTTCAATTGAAACATGTAATTAACCACTGGATTTTGTAAAAACTAATTTCTGTGAAGCAAACACTGCCTCAAATTTAGGTTGATGAAGTAAAAACAATGCCGCAATTTGAACAATATAATTCTTAATAGGAAAACAGAAATAGAAATAATGCATAGTTCATTTATCCTCAAAGTGCAACCAGAAATCCAGTGTCTTATCCTTTTAATAGTATAATCAATATTTTTAGCAATTTTTACAAATTGAATAAATGTCATTTTTATGACGCATAAGAGAGTTTTTATTTGCTATTCTGAAATTTAACATAGGATAATTCATTTTCCCATCTTGAATACAATTTTCTTTATTCTAAAACTAAAAGGACGAAGGGTCTTCTATAATAATTCTTTTCCCCATCCACATACCACTAAAATGTTAATGGGTCTGTTATTATAATTAATTTTTTTTTCAATCCACATACCACTAAATGAGCATATAAATGAAACATTGTGACATTATTTGTGTCAACATTTGATGTATTATATGTACTGTATGTCATGTGTGGATTTATGAAATTTATCTATTTGTTATTTTAACTTGACTAAGAAATTCATGAATCTGTAGTTTCTTTTTTTTTTTTTTTTCTTTTTCCCCTCTTACTCTTTGGGTCTGATTTTCATGGTCTTCTCTCTGCTTAGTGAAGAAACCACAGTGCTTACGAGTCCCCATTACAAGCATTAGCAATAACTATCACATTTCATTGTTATTTTTTTATTTTTTTTTTTTTTTTTTTTTTTTTTTTTTTTCCCCTCTTACTCTTTGGGTCTGATTTTCATGGTCTTCTCTCTGCTTAGTGAAGAAACCACAGTGCTTACGAGTCCCCATTACAAGCATTAGCAATAACTATCACATTTCATTGTTCTGGCAACTTGTTAAACAAGATGTTTAATGAAAATGAATTGACCCATTAAAATAAACTTTATTTTTGAAATCTTGCCAATGCAAATTAATATTGTATAACTTTTGTTTAGCCACCCAAGAATCATATTTCAGTATTGTCTATTAGTACTTAGGCCATAAAACACAGAACTGTTAATTATTTTGCCACGCCATATCATGTTTACAAGCCAGTGGAATATAATTTCCTCTTTAAGATTTCTTTATCTCAATTTTTTAAGATTCTTTCTATTTTAGACATCCTTTGATTCCCCCAACCAATGGTTGTGCCTTGAGCACAAATTATGTGAATATTTCATTGTGTACTGTACAACCATTAATGACCTGTGGCCATAAAATAGGTCATCAAGATAGCAATAGTGACAGTAAGTCACGCCTTTGCATCCCTTTTCTGTGGCCTATTTATGTTATATGAAATGATGCAGAAGTTTGCCATACCCCAAATCTTTTTTGGAAGTTTCCAAATCTTTCCCAGGGAGTAAAATGTAAATCTGTCCATGTGTTAACATAAACCCTTGAAAACTTTAAATACAAATGAACAAAATGGAAGTAATTTTTTTAATTTTTCATAAAAATGGGGTTGCACCGATTGATCTTCCCCACTGTCAACTAGTATGTTGACACTTGGATGATGTAACAGATTTGCTCATCAAATGCACAGTTTAGCCACATAAAAACTGCGCCAATCAGGGTCTGCTTTTCATGTTGGCAATTTGAGGCTAATTACTCTGTCAAGGTCCAGATGTATGGGAATCGTATAACTTGCACCATGTTATGTAATTAAAATGATTCACTCTTACTTCCTGTTAGTAGCTCTATAATGATTATAATTCATTATGAAGTTCAAAATTAACTACCTAAAATTAATTACAATAAAAATTTTCAAAGCAAAATGTATGAAAATATATAATTGATAATAGGTGACTTGGCCAATGTCACAAGGCTTTTTTAAATTACCGTATTTTTTTGGCGTATAACACGCCCCCACGTATAACACGCACCTCAATTTAAGAAGGAAATTTCAGGAAAAAAACTAAACATTATATCAGCGTATAACACACACACATAATTTGCCCCCTATTTTCGGGAGAAAAAGTGTGTGTTATACGCCAATAAATACAATAATTGGTTTGTTTATCTGTGCAACCAAACTGTAAAATATACCGGAATTTTTTTTATCTGCTTTAAATATTTTTGAATCCCTTTTTTTTATTAGTTCAAACATTGCATGGTCAAATTTTACCCAGCAGTCAATATAAAAAAAATTCTCTTCCCCATTGCTCCATTAAAAAATAAATAAAAATTTGTTGTGACACCTATTTCATTTGATAAAAATAATTGATTTAGAGAGTTATTTTTTTTTATAATGGTTGTTAAAAAATGTATATTTTAGCTGTTGCATAGTTCCACAAATATTGTCTACATCTCATTTTCTACCCATGAAGTACCTACTTGTCTAAATATTTAATTTATATAGTTCACTGCATTAAATTCCATGTTTCGAAAAAAACTTTTTTTTTAGATATTTACAAAGAAATTTGACTACTTTTGTGGTCATTCTGTGACTCAATAATATCTTTGTTCAAGACTATGGCAGTTTAAGAGACATTGCAAGAGTAGATTTTTAAAGAAATTGTTATTATGATTTGATGTCAATGATCACTTGATTGCAAGTAAATTTTTTTTTTTGTTCAACGGTAAAGAGAATAACTATTATAAATGCACATTTTACCAAAATTTAAAAAAAAGGAATGCGGTTAAATTTTTATAAATCTTCAATTAAAATAAATACATATTTCACAGCTTGTATTAAGCTACAAAGATCATTGTCATCTAATAATTCATCAATAATTTTTTATTTAATTTAACTGTTGCATTCTTCAATGTACTCTGTAAATAATCAATAAGTTTTCAGAAATATGTGAGCAATATGCCCTATATTTAATATTTGATTCATTGTGTAGTTAAACTCATGTTTATTATTTTTGGACTTGCTTCTACATTACCAATTAATTTTTTTTACTAGAAAAACTTGGGAAAATTATTATTTCTGTAATTTAAAAAAACTTTTGTACTAATAAATTTTTTTTTAGTAATCTAACACAACATATTGCGACAGTAATTAGTATCTACGCTAGTGTTAATTTAAATTAAGTAAAACTTGTAATGTTTTTAAATCTTAATGGAAATGCTAAAGGCCATCTAAAAGTCTTTTACTCCTTTGCAAAATAGTTATTTTTGCATTTTTAAAGATTGTCAGAATTCGATATCGCCAGTATATTGCATACTCAGCTACCTATGTGTCAATTTAAAGGTACTTTTAGGAAAAGGATATGGTGTGCCTTAAATTTTTCAAATAACCTGTTGATAAAAGCTATAGATAACTTCTAAATACTTAGAAATTATCTCTTTCTAATTACAATATAAATGAAATTTGATTTCTTTTTTGCTTAAATTGTGTAATATAAGTATAAGATTATATCCTTTTTGTATGGCTATTACAGTGAGCACAACTTCATCAAGCATTGCAATGGGACCAAGTGATTTTGATCACCAACATAAAGTATTTTGTTGCTTTGACAAATTGATATTTAAAATTCCATTTTCAAATTAAAAATTTTAATAAATAAAAAAGATATTAAAATTACAATTTTTTTTGAAAATGATTAAATAACACATAATCAGATTTTTACATAACAATTTAGCAAAAGGGAAAATACTGCTTCTCTATGTTCTGGTGTTAATATAAATGTGCTATTAAATGTTGTTCATTTTTCTCACTACTTTTTACGCTAACAACAGTTTGTTATTTAAGTTTCTGAGAATTATTCATCTAATTAAACCAGGTTTATAAATGTAGAATAATATAGACATTTCTACTTAAACCATAAAACTAACACTTAATTAATAATCATTAAAAAAAATAATGGATACCCTTAGTCTTAAGAGCTTAAGAATTGTATTGAATGAAAGAAGGGTAGACGGTTTGCCTCTGAAGTTAAAATGGTGAGTTGTTAAATGATTAAACTTAATGTGCTGTTTAGTTATGCCATATTCTTTAACAGAGATGTCAGTGATAGAGCAAGGGAACAAATCTCCCCAGCAAGCATTGAGTGCTTTCCTTGGACTTTATATAAAAATTATACATGCATCTTAAATAATAATTAGACTGGTCTCAAGATACAATGAAGATACTGTACCATTAACCAAATATGGTACTTGAATTCTTTTCGATGGGTGCTTCAAAATTTTTTTAATTCATCCCAGACTATTTGAGGAGGCCTAATTTAGGAGTTTATTATAAAAAGTAACCATACAAGGTAACGGTATTGCACAGTCAAGTATTATTTCCAATATTGTTATTATATTTTCATTACACCTTTTACTTAGCCTTCTTTTAAATCATTAAAAAAAATTGTGTTTTTGTGCTCTGAAATCTGCAGTATAACAATAACACACAATGATCCAATAATATATCATTATATGTACCGGTACACTACTACTATGACTATGATGGATGTAACTGTTGAAAGCAGAAAAAAATTAAACATGACTGTAGATCTGGGTTTTGTCTCTTTATTTGTAGTGTGATCATATTTGTTGGAAGGAATATATACATAATTAAAAAAACAAAACAATGAAAACAAGTTTTATTTCCCTTTTTCCAAAACAGAAAGGAAATATAACAATTTTTTTGGTGCAACATTTTCTGAAGGTGATCATATGCGTATCGGAAAATTTGATCGAAAGAAATTTCGTCGACGGTAAATTGATCGAATCTGTTTTTCATTTTTTACATTAAAATTTTGCTTCAAATTTCTTTGTGAACGCATTATTTTGTTTTATTATATTATATAGTAT